TAAGGTGGCTGTAGGGATGGGACAGAGGATGTTCGCCACGTTTTGGAATATGATCATAATACGTTTTATCTTTCAGCACGGAAGTTAATGAGTTGTGATTAAAATGGTCGTAAGTTGGAGCTATAGGTTCCTCCTTTCCCAAATGACATCTTTGTACTGATGTGATGATATTCCGATAGTTTATCTTCTCCCTGTCATCTTGCGTTCTTCAGTTTTACTACACTGTATTAAAATTTCGAATTTAATGGTTGGGTTCTGAGATCGGATATTGTTTCTAGCAATGCAGGTCACCCACGGTTCATATAGTAACCGGATACGGGTTTCGGCTTGGCGCAAAAAACGTCGTCAATGACATGATAGTTTTGGTGATATCCTGTTGGGTGGACTATCAACTGGTCTGATGGACTTGGTGCTAAATTCATTGGTAGTTTGTGGTTTAGCAGTTTTGATGCCAAAATCATGATCTATGTCTTTGTAGTTCTTCTCCTCTTTTGGTTTGCGATGTTTGGTGTTTAGCAGTAAAATCATGGTCTGTAAGAAACTTTCGTCGATATAGTAGTAACATGATTCGTGTTTCTTTGTATCGCCACCTTGTATTGTATCATATTCAGATTCACCCCTCTTGTTATTCTTGGTATATTCTAGCCCCTGATGATTATCACCTGATTTATTTCTCCTTCTTCTGGAAAATAAAGTTATAAAATGTATTTGAAATGCCTAGGAGCCGAGCTGGTGGTGGTGGTAGTGGTGGGTAGGATTGACGGGAGTAACTTCTACGCTTCTGCACCTACTAAGCTAATGAAGACGGACATACGCTATACAGTATCATAATTATGATGAGAATTTTGCCCAGATATTAAACCCCATTTCATTTCATGTGTCAGATTGCAGTACAGTGTATGCTATAAGTAACTTGTACCACAATGTATTAGTATTAGTCAGGTCGCCAAACTCAATTTTTGGAGTGAACCTGGAAATTATATACAAAGTTTTATGGTTGATTTTAGTAGCCTAGGGTGTCCTCTATTGTGTGGCATGTTTGATTTTACTATCATCTAATCACCCCACAACATAATAAATGATTTCAGTGTATTACTTGACCCCAGAAACATACGGTTAGACCCTGGGCCACTACAATCAATCATAAAAGAAAACTTTGTATACAATTTCCAGGTTCAGCCATAGGTCTGACGGACTATATATATGTAAGCATGGTAATGAGTGAGCGCTTGACAGGCAGCACACTTGATCGGCTCTGCAGTTTTTGTGATATTTTAGTGTCATTTCTGAATATTAGTGTCTGAAAATTGGATATAACCTTCATGATGTGACAAACTTGGATATTATAAAGTTTGGAAACAAAATCTTGGATATTTATGCAGATAATATGCATTTTTGTATTTTGTATATTTTTGAAAGTTGAACTGTTATTAACCTTTAATTGGCCACAACCACAGATGTTCAGCTTGTGACATGCTGACTACTCTCAGTAAAGAAGTGTTAATTAATCTTTCTCACCAATACAATAGGCTTAATCAAGACCTGTTCAATACTATATGTGATCTTAAAATAAACCTAACTAAACCAACAAGGAGAGGAACAAGGGGTGGAAAGAGAAAACAAAAGAAGTTTGATGTGTTCACAAGAAATTTAGTTAAACATGACATTAATTCTCTTAAGAATAACCTTACTACTACTATCACCAATATAGATACAAATAGTTCAAACTTTCTTAAAATTGGGTTACGGAATGCTCAATCTGTTAAAAATAAAACAATTTCTGTTTCTGAATTAATATTGGAATCAAATCTAGATGTGTTGTTTATCACAGAAACTTGGTTGAGAGAAGATGGCGATCAGAGTAAAATTGCAGAGTTAATTCCTGATGGCTATAAATTTATCCATGTCCCTAGGCTCCAAAGGACCGGTGGCGGATTGGCTCTTTTACATATAAAGAATTTAGTTCTGGATATTTCAAAAATACCTGCAGAATTTTCATCTTTTGAATTATTGACATGTATAATTAGCTGCGGAAAAAAGTCTTTACGCTTTGTGTGTCTGTATAGGCCACCTCCATCGAAGAAAAACGAACTGACACAATCCAGTTTTCTAACAGAATTTGCTACTCTTTGTGACCTTCTAGATAGGAAGAAAGAAAGCACCATCATACTCGGAGACTTCAATATTCATTTTGATTCTCAAGATAATTTCCTAACAAAGAAAGTACTCAAGATTCTTGACAGTCATGATTTTATTCAACACGTTCCAACTTCAACCCATCGTAGTGGTCATATTATTGACTGGGTGCTTACCAGAGATGCTTCCCTTATTCAAAACATAGAAGTGTTAGATAAACAAATTTCAGATCATCTCCTTGTATCCTTTGATGTTATTTTTGATAGACCTGTAGCACCATCAGTCACATGCACCTTTCGTGGCTTGAAAAATATCCATATTACTGACTTTACCCATGAATTGTCGCAGTCTGTCTTAACACCACCATTTGTCTGTGATTCTTCGCAACTGTTAGATAATCTTACTGATGTTCTTACAACTCTTCTTGATAAATATGCACCATTAAAGACAAAGACTATCCGTCAACGTAAAAACACTTCCTGGTTTTCACCCGATATTTTAGAAGCAAGAAACAAGCGCCATAGTTTAGAACGTAAGTGGAGAAAATCAAAACTTGAAATCGATAGACAAATACTAAATTCAGCTCGTAATTCCGTAAATTTAATGATCAAGAACGCTAAATCTGATCACATCAACACTATTATTAATAACAACCAACAGAATCCAAGAGTTCTTTTCTCAACTCTCAACAAACTTTTGGGGAAATCACAGGATGTCATTCTGCCTCGAGGTGAAGAATCTGATGTAGCCAACAAATTTTGTGAGTATTTTACTGATAAAATTAACAAAATCAGATCTGCACTAATACCAGAAACAGATGAAAATCAACAAGTCAACACTTTTCAAGGTAAACCATTCACATCATTCAAGGAAGTGACTGAAGATGAACTAAAGAAAATTATTTTATCTTCAAAACCAACGTCTTGTGTTTTAGACCCAATTCCAACCAGCTTTATGCTAAAAATATTGGATGTTTTATTACCTATCCTGACAGCCATCATTAATAACAGCTTAAACTCTGGTTTTGTGCCACAGCCATTCAAGCATGCTTTGATCAAGCCCTTACTTAAGAAACCATCTCTCGAGTCGGAAGTATTAAAAAATTATCGCCCTGTTTCGAACCTTCCATTTATCTCCAAAATCTTAGAAAAAGTTGTCAAAATACAACTGTTGGAACATATGCAAAATCACAGTTTAATGTACGAGTACCAGTCAGCTTACAGAAACAACCACAGTACCGAAACTGCTCTAAACCACGTTTTCAATACGATCCGAAGTGGAGTTGACCAAGGTTCCATCGCTATGCTCGTTTTGCTTGATCTATCTGCTGCCTTTGATACGCTGGATCATAGCAGAATACTCAACAGACTGGAATCCGAGTATGGTATCAATGGCCTTGTGTTAAACTGGTTTTCATCATATTTAATAGGTAGAACACAGGCAGTTATGGTTAACAGCTCCTTTTCTAACACAGTCGATCTTACATGTGGTGTACCACAGGGATCAGTATTGGGACCAATTATTTTCTGTATGTACACAAAGTCACTCAGCAATCTTCTCATTAAAAAGGATCTAAATCACCACTTTTATGCTGATGACTCTCAGATCATGGACTTTTTCCTCCCTGAACAAAATAGTCAACTATCTTGTTGTGAAAAAATTGAAACATGTGTGACAGATGTAAAAAGCTGGATGACAAACAATATGCTTAAACTAAATTCGGACAAAACAGAACTGTTATTGATCGCCCCTACACGCAGACTACATAAGAGCGACATAACCCATTTAAAAATTGAACAATCTTACATCAATCCATCAAAATACGTCAAAAACCTCGGTGTTATTATGGATACGAATTTGTCTATGGAAAACCACATCAGTTTTCTGTGTAAAACATGTCACTACCACCTTCGGAATATTGGCTCAATACGTCATTTTATAACATCAGATGCTGCAGCTACCCTCGTCCGATGTCTTATCCTCTCTCGCCTCGACTATTGCAACAGTGTGTTATCTGGGATTACCAATGAGCAAACAAAACGCCTCCAACGTATACAAAACTCAGCAGCCAGACTAGTCTCAAGAACCAAAGTCCGTGACCACATATCTCCAGTTTTATCCTCTCTTCATTGGCTTCGTATTAATGAACGTATAGAATTCAAATTGTTGTGCCTAACTTATCAAGCTGTTTATAAGACTGCACCTGTTTATCTTCAAGAACTTGTTAACGAACATTTACCAGTCAAAAACCTTCGATCTAGTAACACTTGTCAACTACAATTACCAACATACAATTTAAAAACTTTTGGAGCAAGAACATTTTCATATCAAGCTGCTTTCCATTGGAATAAACTCCCAACTTCCTTAAAACAGTGTCCGTCCCTAGCAAGTTTTAAATCATCACTGAAGACACATCTGTTCCGTCGCTATATGTAATGAGATGACACAGTATATTGTTCAGACTTTGCAGAATTGACTTGAGCGCTATGAGCATACTACACAGTGTGGAATAGCGCTATATAAATGTTATTATTATTATTATTATTATTAAATTCAATATATGTAAATTGGCATATCATTATTCCAAATAATGGTACTGGCAACGTGCCAATTATACATTATATATACTAGTTAAATTATTTGATTCGCGTGACGTATTTCATTTCATTGAAATGCACGTGCGGGGTAGTGTCTTATTTTAAGTTGTGCATGGTGCATAATACATGTATATTGAAACATAGAACTAGAATACTAACGGGAACGCCCACTCGGTGACGTATAACGGTGATGACATAATTATGTTGTACATCGCATGCGCGAAGTCAATAAGGCACAAGTAACTTCCGGCCGTATGTCAACATGGCAGAAGCAATGAAATGAAATGAAATGGGGTTTAACGTCCTACTCTTCTGCACCTAACCTGGGCTAATTGAAGACGGGCATACGCCATACAGTCTGCTATGAGGGAAATTTTGCCTGGGCAGCGGCGCTACGGCCTACTCTTATATCGAATTCCATCTGCCAAGGGATCTTTTACGTGCACGCCAATGTGTACACGGGACCTCGGTTTTTCGTCCCATCCGAACGACTAGGCAGCTGTCCTTGTCAGGCCCTCCGTTCTGCATCACTGACAAGGGGAAATCACGCCGGAAAATCGAGATGAACTTTCTCGGCCAATGCAGGGATCGAACACCCGACCTCCAGGCTAGCGAGCCAGCGCCTTGCCCACTTAGCCACGTGATCCCCCCATGGCAGAAGCGTACGACGTCCTGGAATTTCAAGAACTTGACGGTGTAATAGATGTAAGTTATTCATAATTTTAATGAGTTTTTTTAAAATTAGTTATATAACATACCATCGGGAGTATAAACCATTTATTTTCGGACATTAAATTATCCGAACACACGTTTGTGTATCATTTTCTACTACATATTATAAAATTATTATTAATAAATTATGATGACATTCACATTTTATTTAGGACTTGTTATTATTTTTATTTATTGTTTTGTGTATATTGTTGTTAGCCTTTGGCATGTCCGTGCCAGTTTTGGCTGGTTTCCCAGTGCCCTTTTCTTGTTTATAACGAGGGGTTTTACATAGGCTAAGCCTGTTCCCCAATCCCATTCAGACATTCTGAATAAAAATATTGTTTATAAAAAAAAATGTTTATTCTTTACTACAGCTTTTCTTTGCTAAAGATTTGTTTGAGACATCTCAACCTGTCGTTCCAGTAGCATCCGTAAGTTTTCTACATATACAACATACATACATATAGTCACATAGTGTTCGTAGCAAATTGGCAGGTTTTGAAACTCATTATAGTCTCGACCATGACTATATATTTTTTTTCTTCTCAAACGATCAAATTGCTTTGGAAATGAAATGAAATGGGTTTTAACGTCCTACTGTTCTGCCCTCCTATGCTGGGCTAATGAAGACGGGCATAGGCCATAAGGTGTGATTTAAGGGAAATGTTGCCCGGGCAGCGGCACTATCACCTATTCTTATATCGAATTCCAACTGCCAAGGGATCTTTTACGTGCATTCCAATGTATACAGGTGACTTCGGGTTTTCGTATCATCCGAAGGATTAGCCAGCTGTCCTTGTCAGGCCCTCCGTACTGCATCACTGACAAGGGGGAACCACGCCGGAAAATCTGGATGAACTTTCTCGGCCAATGCAGGGATCGAACACCCGACCTCCAGGCTAGCGAGCCAGCGTCTTACCCACTTAGCCACGTGATCCCAAATTGCTTTGGAACAGTTTCTTTTATTTTGTATAATATTTTCTTTAAAGGGACAATAACACTCTTGCTGGCTTGAAAGCTCCAGAAAATAAATAATATCTCTATCTAAGTACTAGATGTTTAAGTGTCCCACCTGTTGTGTAAATTATCCATTACATCCTATTTTACTTGTCCAGAGGGTTCGAAAATCTTTTTAAATCGACGTTTCATTTGAAAAGGTTTACGTTAGACGTTTCAAACCATTATGTTGAATTTTTCAAATAAGGTGTGTTAAGATGAAATTTGTATCATCAATTAATTGAAATATTCTAAAATAGTACAATAAGTTGACCAGAATAAAGAGTGGGACATATTATTCAGTTACAACAAGAGTGGTATTGAGCCTTTAAAGAACTGTATTAATTTGGTATCAAGCTCGTAATTAGATAAAATTGTGAGGGAAATTATAACCTCCAACCCTGTCTTTGGTTGTGAACAGATTTACACTGGTAATTTTAATTCATAGCTATTGATTTTGTTTGGTTTTTATTTACGTTGTTTTCATTGTTATTTATTTTCTTTTTAAGATTCAAACTAATCCAGTTAAATTTAATGGGAAAGTTCAAGTAGTGGTTATATGAAAAATGATCTGATGTTCACATGATCCCAAGGGTTTGCCGAACCTCAATCGAGTTTAACCCCAACAAGGAATATTATACATCAAAACTGTTCATCTGCCTGTGCATTTTCTAGTATAAGTTTATCATCATTTGGAACAAATAGTTAAATTACTATTCAAGATAACAACAATATGTGGTTGGAATGATCCAAGGCTCTGTTCAAAGATATTTTATTCACATGACAGTGATGCTTGTTAAATAAAACTTGTGAATTTAACAGATAATGACCATTGATAAACACTAAAGGCAAATAGAAATGCACAAAAAAATCCATAAGCTTATGATAATAATGATTAAACATACATTATGCAAGAGCTAAATCTGCCTATTGCGGGTTTTCTTTAGGCCTGAAATGTTTTCTAAATTATTAATTAGACATTAATTAACTTATCCAGGCCCTAATCAACTCTTGATAGCATCGGATTTCTCCAATATTAAATAGATTAGAACAGTTCAGCCATATTTTAATTTAAGCTAAAAATGGAGGAGTGAGACTTTACTTCGAACAACCAGTACGATGGTTGAAATTATTGCACACGTCTTGTCAAACCTTCAAAGGCCTTCAAAGGCTAATATCTTCGCTCGCAATAGAGTAATTTGAATGAAATTTTCAAATTATTCATTTTACATTATTTATCTTCGAACTATTATAGCAAGAATGGCTAGCTCTTTATCAAAATCTTACATAATGTATATTTAAGAATAATTTAATACATTTATAAAGCTCACACATTACAAGTAGTGCACCTGTATAAAATTTGTATAAATTTTGTTATCATTGTTAATATTTTATACTGAGATGCAATAAAAATAATACATCACTTTTATAAATGGATGAATGTAAATCTTGTTTGAAATGAATCCAGGTTTAACGCCCTACTTAGTACTTTTCAGCTCAATGTTGTTTTAAAGATTTGCTTTAATCTTGCAAGTAAGGATGTACATGTAACAACATCATATTACGATGATAACATGTGAGAATGTTTTGAAGATTGCGTAAACGCACCCCGAACAATTCTCAATCAAAAAAATTAAACCCAACAGAATCAGTATGTTGATTTTTCTGGTACACACGTGGGGTATATAATCCAGCTTTTAAAAAGCTAGGTTTTGTGCAACTGCGGAAGGTGCAAAGTTATGCCACGTCATCTCAGAGGTGCTATTTCATTGCGTCTCGATATATTTTGTTTACAATTATCAACCTGGCCCCAAGTTCACAAAGCATTCCCAGACTTAAGAATTTGCTCAACTTTCAATCACTGTTGTTGAGATATATCTTTGATCCAGAAACACAAAACTTAGCACATAGTTTCTTAATGATATATTTACATTAAAACAACAATAGTTAGTAAAGTGATATATTTTAGTTAAAATAAGACAAACAATTTTGAGTAAAACCTTAACTTAAGACTGAGAATGCTTTGTGAACTTGGGGCCTTGTTTTCTTTTCATTACTTATTATCTACAATACAGTAATAACAAGAAATAAAAAATCTGTAGAACACTGCTGATTAAGTTCTAGATTTAATCCTAGATTCAATCACATTTATATTTTTATACTTCCAATATCGATATTAATTCCAATAGAGCCAGGAAATGATTAGTTTAATTATACACTTTCTATTTTGTTGTATGAAATTATCTGTATAATCTGTGTTTTTGTTACTTTCATTGTGTGAAATGCTTGCAGCAAAGTGCTGTAAATAAAATACCCGACATCACTGATCACAGTTTAACTCTGTAACTTCTCATTTGACCTCAAATCTATATGGAGTGGAGTCAGTTGGAAGAAATAAATCAAAATGGAGTGAAATCTACATTTTAATCAAATTCGTACCACATGATTATATTCTACCACTTTTTGCTCGTTTATATGGCAACTATATATTATTGCTAAGCTATTTTTGAATTGTAAATTACATTTACAAGTATGTAAATATTGATTCTTTGAATTATATATTGTCAATCAAAATCTGAATATGCAATGTGCTATATAGCCATATATGTGAAATAAACTATTATTATTGCTATTTACTTTCTCTGTAAATCTCTGTTAATCTGTCGACAACTTAAACAAATTTCTTTTTGAGTGTCCTCAACAAAACTATTACATACAGAAGCAAGTACACAGCTTTCGTAATTGATATGTTGACTTATTTGTGTTCATGACATTGAGAATAAGACTGTAAATGTTTTGATGTTATGCCCCTACATATCTTCATATTCTCAACAGTTCTTATAAGTAAATCTATAGATGTAACTTTAATTTGAACAGGAAACAAGAATTATTATATTGTACTTCACAATTCAAGTCCTTGTCAATGGTTAAATGGTATGTTACACTTTTATCTTCAGTTTTAAACAGATAGATATAATCACTTGAAGACTGACATAGCCACAAAGCAGGCATTTGACATAAAAATGATTTCTGCAACATCTGAAAGGTTACTTCGTTCATATGTAAACATTGAGTTTCCTCGGTTTTCCTTGGACTCTGAATAAAATAGACAAATTCATAACATTCAATTAAAACAAGAAGAATTGGATTCTCATACATGTATTCATAATTTTCTCGGTTTCTGAATAAAATCGAAAAAATTACAAAAGTAAATATAAAGAAGAATCGGATATTCATACAAGTATTTATAAATAAAATTATGAGAGATTACAGAAAGAGCTAGCAGTTCTCATTATAATAGTTAAAACTAGATAATGTAAAGGGAATTTGCTGAAAATGTCAGTCAAATTGATTCACCCTGAATCGAGTATTTAGTAATTGAATTTTTGGCCTAGCCTCGATCATCATTATTAAGCTCGGTACGATAAAAAAAACATGTTCTCGATTATCCATTTTTTGATTTAATCAGAAGTAGCAGACTGGGCTCTAATCCAGTATATATCACAGGCTAGCGATGCCATCGAGCTTTGATTATGGTCTGGATAAGTTAATAATGTAATATGAATGTATATAAACTGATTTACATTCAATGTTTTCCGTTTTTACTCCAATTTCAAACTAGTTATGTTCGGCGAAATAAGCCAGCAGTCTCAAGCGAGTGCAAATTTCTAGCGTCTGGTTATTCCAGTCTACATACGCCGTTTGGTTTGGTGCAATATGTCTAGCCTCGTTCCTCGAGTCTCTTGCTAGAACTGGGGCTGAAACGCATTATGGTACACGATTCGTGTACCAATGGCAAAATGTTTATTTTGTCTTAAATATTGGATATCAGAAGCTCATCATTTCCTGGTAAGATAACAGCATCAATGTTGATTTAAATTGACAAATAAACCGTGTTTTCAATGTTGAAGATTTTGGATGATATTGAGTTAGAGACTTAGCTACTTTAATGTCTAATTAATAATTTAGATAACATTCCAGGCCTAAAGAAAGACCTGCAATTGACAGATTTAGCTCTTGCATAATGTCTGTTTAATATTGATGAATTAAATGTCCATATACTGATCTTTTATAAGGAAACATCGAATGTTCATATTCATAATTAAGTTAACAGAAATTTAAGTTACCGGTGACTTCCTTGGATTCCATTTCTTTGTTGTTACGCTTTTCTGTAGAAGAATTAAGGTTGATAGTCTCCCTAACCCTTCTTTTAATCTTCGATATGTGGACCCAGAATTTTTGTAAACATCTAAAATATTCATAAAATCAAAATAAAAAGGTTCCTACATACAAAAAAAAAGGTTCAGATATAATTTTTTTTCCATGCTTGTTGATTATTCATACTGGGAACAAGATTAGTTCGGAATTTAAAAATAAAAGGATTTGACAGGTCAAGGTCAGTCATAAATAAATATACAATTTTAATTTTTATGGAACTGCTCAGTTAAAACTTTGACCTTTAAAAAAAATAATAATTAGAAATTCATAAAATTAAAGTAAAAGAAGATTGTTGAGAGAGAATCGTCATGCTGTCACACACTCATCGGGTGTAGTAATCGTCAATTTCATAACAAATTGAAAGTAGACTAGGCCTAGCTAAGGCACTAATGTAAATAAACCTATATGCATACAACTTTGATGAGAGAAAGGGTAAAATCTAACGGGCAAACATGAAAATACAGACATTCAGCTAGTATGGGTTTAACGTAACTTCATTGTTTCATTGTAGGTTGTCAGGGTGGACTGCCAACTAGAATCTACATAATTAATTTCTTTTGAGTTTTCACTTACTTTTTCAACGAAATAATCCGGCTCAACGTGTCTTGAACATATTGTCAAGGTCTTGTCATTTATCGGGTCTGATCTGGTAGACTGTATGATACGTAATGATTCTCTCTCCACTCTATGTTGTTTTTGGGTAAGCGATAGAATGATCAACCCCGATTTCTTTTATTGCAGGCGGAACATCCGAACAAAACACAATTCGCGCCAGGCATTTTGTTAGTGCGAGCAGAAACCGGAAGTACGCTGTGCCCGATATCAGCGTCAGAGGCCCGCCGTCACATAAAGTAGTGACGTCACACGGTGGGCGTTCCCGTTATTATTCTAGTTCTATGATTGAAACAAAGTCTCACTCTCTACCATTAAACATCACATAATACAACTGACGCAGTCTCTTTCTTTCTGCCACATTAAAAGCGTCCATTACTTACTATATCAAATTTAATGTGAACGAAAACAGTGATGTGATATAGGATATCCGTCCATAATTTCATCAGTTCTACCAAGATCTCTATCTTTGTTTTGGCGGGGGTGGATGACCGAATGGTTGGCGTGTGCGCGCTGTATCATAATGTCTGTCATTGAGTCAACTGGCGTGATTTCGAATCCCCGGTTGTACGTGACAAGGAGTAAGGTCGTCTGTCCAACCTCGTGGGTTTTCTCCAGGTCCTCCGGTTTCCCCCCATTGCTAAAGACCCCTACGCGCAAGCGAATTATTGAAATAAAATTGAACCATGTGTTAGTCCCGAAATGACCTAGTTTGTGTCGAGTGGACGTTAAACCCCATTCCCCCCCCTCTCTCTCTCTCTCTCTTTGTTTTGTGTTTACAAATTTACCTGGGAGAACAAATTCGGAATTTAATAAAAATTCAGAATTTTGACATCCATTGTTTGTCCGTATGATCAAGTACTGTAGATAGAAAAACAAATGAGCGGGTGAACAGAGTGACTGCAATGTACTATCACATTAAATATAGTTTTATTTGTAAGGCCCCAGAAAAGATAGAATCATAAAAAAAGAATGGCGGAGAAAGAATTTAGGATTTATTTCATACTCACCTGAGGCGGTATTAATCATCACAGATTATAATTATATACTATTCAAAAAAAGTAGGGGATATTTGATTTTGGGGGCATAATACTAAAATATGCAAATGACTACGAAAAAAGTCACTATAGAACCTAACAGAAGAAACATTTCCAGTTACATGTGACGCCCAAACGCACCAATAGCTACCGCATGGAATGCAGGTGATGCTTGGGATCATCATGGGGGTCCAACCCAAGATTTGCACGACTCTGACTTTGAATGTTACAGTCATTGTGGCATTGAATTCCAGGGTGGAAACATCAGTTTAATTGTTTTAGTGACCAGAAAACAAATTTTGATATGCGTCGGCTTACCCAAAATGAAAGGTTACGTGCCCTTGGCATGCTACAGATCGGCACAACACAGGCGGTTGTGGCGCGGACGGTGAATGTTTCTCAGTCTGTCATAAGCAGGCTATGGTCCAGATACCGTGATACACAATCTGTACAGGACAGACCACGCTCAGGTCGACCAAGGGCGACAACTCAAGCCCAGGATCGATTTATCCGTACTTTGGCCCTGAGAAATCGTGTCATCACAGCAAATCAGATCAGCGCTCGTCTTCAAACAGACACTGGTGTGAGAATGAGTGGCCAGACGATTCGGAATCGACTGCATAGGGGTCACCTTCGCGCCCGACGTCCTCGCGTGATCCCTTGTTTGAGAGATCATCACATTCAGGCAAGACGTCGTTGGTGTAGGGATCGTCAACACTGGGATAATCGACGCTGGAGCAATGTGATGTTTTCAGATGAGTCAAGGTTCACTGTTGATTTTTTGGACAGACGTAGGAGGTAGTGGCGTCGTAGAAACGAGCGCTTCCAAGACGTTAACGTCATCAGACATGATCGATTTGGGGGGGGGGGGTCTGTTATGGTGTGGGGAGGCATCACTGTTGCTGGAAGAACGGCTTTACATGTTGTTGCAGGGCGTGTTACAGGCCAGTACTACCGGGACAACATCTTGGCAGTCCATGTTGTGCCGTTCGCACGACGTCATGGCCGCCGTTTCATCTTCCAGGATGACAACGCAAGATGTCACAGGGCCAGGATCGTTACAGGTTACCTCCAACAACAGAACATCACCACAAAACCTTGGCCAGCACTGAGTCCCGACCTCTCCCCCATCGAGCATGTCTGGGACATGCTTGGACAGAGGTTACGTCAACGTCAACAACGTCCTGCCAATGTCCAAGAACTTGCTGCTGCGTTGCAACAGCAATGGGACAATCTGGACCAAAATGACCTTAGACGTCTCATTAGGAGTATGCCACGTCGGATCAATGCTTGTTTGGCAAACAGAGGAGGATTTACCCGTTACTGACTTGGTTGTGATGCTGTGGTAACTTTGCTGTTTGACCCCGGGTATCATAATGGTCAGTCTGTGCCTTACTTAGTCTAACGATCATTTGTAATAAATCGATGAATGTGAACTTCATTTCATTTTGTCATTTGTTTCTTCGTCAGTTTCATTAGGTGACTTTAATAACACTTAAAAATCAAATATCCCCTACTTTTTTTGAATAGTATATATGAATCTATAATGTACAAAAAAGGACCAAACGACCCTTCAGAAGTAAATGAATCACAGAGGTCAGTTACAATTGATACATCCAGGTGGGTATCTAAAAACCTCGAGGTTGACAATTTCAAAAGACATAACGTTGCATTAATTGTATATGTAAAACTTTGGTTGTTTCTGTAAAATTCGAAAGGCGCACTGATGCTTGGATATTGGCTATTATGACTGCTAAGGCACACTTTTGTCTTTAGGGTTAGCCTTGAAATGTGAGAAATGAAATTCATTAAATTCCTGGGATTAAATTACGGAAAATTCCAGCTATAAGAACCAGTAAGAAGGACTTATAAGTTTTATTAAGATAAAAAACGATCTGACGGATTGCCTACAGAATTTTTAATATTCATTCCATTCTTACTTGATACAATTCTTATCCAAAATACATGTATAATTATCTTCCTCAACAGGCAGGTGGTCAAGTACCACATGGTAAAGCTTTTCTGCAGAAATTGCCAATTTTTCATAGAATATACCACCTTCATCTACACCGCGTAATACATCTGCGCTTTATAAATTGGTTCTTATGTCAGATAACTGTATTAGACATGCAAAGGTTGGGGTGGGTTTGAAATGTTGGACCATGGATTTTCCATTTATAATGCTAGACCATTAATAGTTTACCCTATCATCTTGTAGGATATTATTCCGTGGTATTTTCATCACAAGAATTCCACAAGATATTGGACAAAGACACAAATTCAACTTTTTTTCAAAAATTTCTTCTCAGATCCCCTTATCCTCCCGCATGGTAACCAAATAATTTTGATAGATAGTTTTTTTGACTGTGGCGTTTTTCGCCACAAGCGTTCCGCTAAAATTCACGAAATTCTTCTTGGACCCCTTCTACGCATGTTAAAACATTTCTAATATTCAGATTCTGCAAGAAACCGGGCGAAAATTTTGTATGTTCAAAACCATGCATGTGACGCTTAAGTCTCACGCACGGGATTTATTAAAATTTTCGCCAGTATAGTATCACGCTCGGCGAGTTGTGAGCTAAGCTTTAAACGCCGTTTAACTAAGGTTTCAATTACGACTATAAAGACTACAAGTTTTTATTACTTTAAATTACATCCTTCTCCAATGAGATAAAGTCTAAAATGAAGTTATATTTTGCTCTTTTTTTAGAAAAAGTTATTTATTTGCTTATTTGACCTTTGTGTGGATAATATTACGATGTAAAGTACAGATAAATTGTCATTTCACAATTTATTTGCCTCACCGGGGCTATATAAATATATGTAGAACAGATTTTTGTATATTTGATTGTATTTTAATCGTATAATTTGATAGGCTGTGATATATGTTTTGATTGTTGTTGGTAAATATATCTTTAAGATGTGGCCGTGACAGTCGGAGCAGAACAGCATTGATCATTTGTTTGGAGCTATAACGGTAGGATGATGCTGACGTGTCATTAAGCAATATTTCATTTAATTTTATTTCTTTGCTAAAATATTTGTTTAAAATATTATTATTATATGGGTTAAATATTTCTGATTAGATGTGTCAACATGTACGTATTATTGTCACCTTTTAATAAAATTTATGAAATGTGTCGTTAGTTTTTATTTCATTTTCCCACAAACAAAAGATGATCACGAATAAAGCTCCAGACGTGTGAAAGCGAATTTCCTTATTGTATATTGTTGGGAATTTTAGGTTGGTAGGGAAGGACCTCAGATCCGATGCGGTGTTGGGGGTGATAGAGGATACGCTCGATCCCTTCGTTTGAGGAGTAGCTTTATTCGGTTGGGTAGGTAATCTCCAGATATATCCGATCAACTCAACAGACGGCACCCAGGGCCCCCAATATTAAAGGGGCTATAAAAGTGTTATAAAACATCTTGTCACATATTATGTTGTGTATGTTTGTGCCAAATAAGTACAACTACCCACCATAATGACATACAAATTGCATTTGTGTGGATGTGGCTGACAATCACTGTTTATTTAATGATCCGTGACATTGTCTTACACACTTTAGTCTACTCTTAACCATTTATCATCATCCTCGACTTTTCTCAATTCTGTTTACAACACACTTTTATCTTTGTCTAGTCGTGGGATAGGGATTTGGAGGGGTCTCATTAATGGAATTTTAACTTCAAGTGTATTTCAAAACATATATTTGTTTTATATACTGTGATATATATTTTGATTAAGTATTATTGATCATTTGTCTGGAGTCAAATGGCTCAGTGGATACTGACGTTCCATTAAACACTATTTCATTTCAATTTATTTTTTGCAAAAACATTTGTTTAAAATATCATTATGATATGGGTTAAATATTTCTGATCAGATGCGTCTACATGTACTATTATAATCGCCCTTTAATAACATTTATGAAGTGTATCGTCAGTTTTTATTTTTCCATAATTGAAAACGATCAAGTGGGTTGAGGACAAATTTGTATGTCGTTTAGATTTATAACGTCGATTGGTTGGTTGGGGAGGAGCTTGGGTTGGATTGGGAAGCGATCGGGCCCGTTGTTGAGTTCAGGTGGGTTGGAGAGGAGATTGGGTCCTCTGGGGGGGGGAGCTTGGGTGAGATAGGGAAGCGATCGGACCCGTTGTCGAGTTCAGGTGGGTT